ATTTTTTTGGACCAACAAGGATTTCTGGATTGTTACATAATCACAGTTTCTCCCAAAATTCACTACTGTAATGCATTTTAGTGCTTCTGTATTTAATATTGTTCTCTACAGTGTTTACTCGTCACTGTAGTTTGTTTTTCAGTTTAAATTTGAATGAAGGCAACACAATAAATACCTTCATAATGTATAAAACTTTTTTTATTTGTAGAGATTTGTAGAAATACTGGTGGTGGATGAGGAGATACCCGACCATGTAAAGCACTTCGAGTGCCTAGAAAACCACTATATAAATGTAATTATCATTTTTTATTTAGGGGTTGGTGTGGTGATATAAAAGTTTTTTAAAAGCAAAATATTATTTTTGTTCTGGGTAGGTGCCGCCCACCATATCTGCAGAGATGTTTCCTCTGCTATTATAAAAATATATTTTTCACCACCCCCAATACATAGATTAATATTAAGTTACATATAATACAATTATTAAATGCATTTATAACCGGTCAAAAAGCACATAGAAAATATTTAAAATAAATATATTTATTCCTGTGATGCAAAGCTGAATTTTCAGGATCATTACTCCAGGCTTCAGTGTAACACGATCCTTCAGAAATCATTTTAATATGCTGATCTGCTGAAGAAATATTGCTTATCAGTGTTGAAAACCAGTCAATATTTTTGAAATACAAGATGAAGGAATTTACTTAATATACCATTTACTTGAAATGGAAAATAATAGTAAAACGTTTTTGCTGTCACTTTTGACGAGATGTCTGAGCGTATAAAAGTTTTTTTTTTTTTACTTGGTAGCATATAAATTCATTTTCCTACAAGCATTAAACTATGCGCTACAGTTATTAAAATACAGGCAAAGTAATTTATTTTTGTTACAATTTCGTTACATTACATACAGCAAGCATTAAACAAGAAAAAAAACTCAAATGCAGTATTCTTTGTTTGGGTGCATTGTTGAATGTTTATTATGAAACCGGAAGATACAGATATTACAGTGAAAAGCATAAGACAATAACATTACCTAATGTCATGTATACTAAAATGGTACATTTACATTTGTGTTCATCTGGGCTTTCTCTCCAAGCCCTATCCGATGTGTGAAAGCCATGTGTGGTAGGTACTGTAGGTGTGAAATTCTTATTCTATCGCCACCTTCATACAATTTTTTTTTTCAGCCTTTTTGGCCCTCCACTGTTATTTTTCATCGGCTCGGGTTGATCCAGCATGCCATCTGGATTTATTGTTTTGCCTATGGAAACACTGGCAAGAGAAAAGGAGTCAAAAATAGAGCCCTCCGGCCTTAAAAGCACACAAACCAGCACAGACATGTGCTCAGGTAATACATGCTATTATGTAGTTTCACTGGTCGTGACCTCAGCGATTTGTAGTCATCATTGCACATCTTTACTGCGTTAACGTCTTGACATTCACTTTAGTCTGTTGCTAAACCATTTGCACTAAAGGTGCATTTAAGACAGTTAAGTGTTGTACCTTACAATCCTTTGCATTATTTTCTTTGCGTGCCATTCAAAGTTTCATATCATATTGGCTTTATGCTGCAAACCTAAGAGGGAAAAAAAACAGAATTAAGCTCATTTACCATTATATAAGCCATAGTCATAATATCAGTTATAATGCATATTCACGAGGCAGAGGCTCTTGACAGTGAGCACTCACTCGTATGCTAATGCAGTACCTGATGGACAGGTAACAGCCACCTCCTGCATGTTAAATGCGTTTTCATTTAATGGGCACCTTCCCTCTGCTCTCAGCTGACGCACGGACC